TAACCAGTCATATCTGGAGTGTGTAATTCAGGGAGACTTGTATAGCTCCCGCATTATTAGTACGTGAAGACTCTCGAAGAGAGTGTTAAGAGATTTTGTTCTAGGGTTTGTAAAGTGTGGAAACCCGTAACATTGTGATAATTAATTGTAGCCGTTATTTGCAGATTGTTAAATAAACCAATTAACCATCTCTACGGCGTATTCTGTAACGGAAACACGTTACAATATATATATATATGCTATTTCTACAGCTGATGTTACAATATCTGCAAAGAAGCCAAGGTGATTATACATGGCCACACAATGTATACAAACATTAACAAGAATGTAACACAACAAAAGTGTTATCACAACATAAAATAAAACACAACAGTTTTATGCAGTGAGGGCAAGGGATAAATAGCTGAGGTGTTCAGCAAGTAAGAAGGAAAAATAAAAATAAATTTAAGATAACTTAAAATCCAGGCTTGAATGCATATTCATTCTATAACTTAACAGAATTTAAAAGGTACTTCCATTTATATTTATTTTGTATTTCTAAATTGACACACTCTTACATGTTATCACGGGTATAAAAATAGATTGGCACTCATCTTATGTGGGAGCCTTGATGTCTCACAACCCTGTGGGCCTCCACAGCCTTTTACCTTACTGAGCTTATTTACGCAATTATAAACTAAAGCAGTTTCTTGTAGATAATACAGATATTATTTAGTCGCTAAGAAAATGCACAAAAACTGCATCAGTTGCCGTCTGCCATTTCCTCACTGGAGGCAAGCAATAGCAATACTACTTCGTATCAGTCGTTAAGTGTTTTCAAAACCACTGTTTCCAAATTGAATTCGGTTCCTGGAAGAGTTGGTGAAGTAGGATAGGAAAAAGTATACAGCATTCTTTAAAAAAATCCAGGATATGAACAAATTTGTGAAATTGAAGAAATTTTAGCAGGTAAACGTACTGAACTGCCAAGTAAAAAATCACTAAGAGCGGAGCAAATAGCGGCTTTTCTACATGAGCCCCTAAGCTCCTGTGAGGTGGAAAGAAGTTTTTCCCGCTATAAGGGCATCTTGCGATACAACAGGAGGCGACTAACTATGGAAAACCTCAAACATTTAGTAATTGTGAACTGCAACAGAAGAGAAGTTGAAAGTTTGGAGAGCCAAATGTGAGTACCATTGTTTTTTTTAAATTTGTAATGAAATATGTTGGCTTTGTTGCATGATTTGTATTTAAGTATAGCTTTTTATTGCAAGTGAATCATTCAGTGATTAGATAAAATGAACTTAAATATTGATTTGTTGGTCTTAAAATAATGTAAAATCAATTTTAATATTTGGTGTAAATTTTTATGTGCATATTTCGGAAGTTTTTCATGCATAAATACATACATATTTAAGGGATTATTAGGGCATAAAAATTTGGTCCCTAGTGATCACACACAGTAGAAAAGCTGTGCATCAGCATTTCCACCAAATAATTTCACTGTATGTCAAGTGGGTAAGTGGAACCTAACTACATTCTGTTTCGTGATATTCCTTGAAGATTGCTGGAAATTAATGTATGAAATACATTACAAAATATGTGACCTAATTAGAAATTGACATTTCATATGAATGGAAAAATTAACGAGAAATATCATAAATGGTACCAGGATACTGTGATGTATGGACCTGTTGCTAAGCATAGATCGTGAAACAAACAATGAGACAAAAGCACAGTAAACACACTTCTACAACAACAGTTATTGTTCGAAATGGTGTTCTCTACGCGGTTTGTGCCAAGAAGTTATCTTGAAGAAAACTGGGGTAACCCAGTTAGTAGTCAGTTGAAAGTCAGCCTGTGAAGAGAACACTAGGAGGTTGGTGTGATGTGGCCACCAGCCTGAGAGTTAGTTAGCTGAGTTCTACATGGAAGACTGTGAAGACAGAAATTGAGGGTGTGAAACTTAAAAATCTCCACTGTTAGAAGCTGCTATCAGGAAACAGCTGATGAATACACAGAAGGCTGGAAAAAGGTTTAGCTGGTGCTGTGGTGATTTGTAAAGTGTGGAGATTAGCAATAGCGCTGTAATTACTTGTAGTTCTGAGTGGTGTGTATAAGTGGCCAATAAATCTATTCACCAATTCATACCCCACCTACAGTCACCCCTAAATCATGACAATATATAGTAACGTTTCATACTTCATATGTAATTATACCAGAAACATGTAATAGGTCATTACAGAGTGATCCATTTGAGATGTTAGAGAAAATAAACTGTTGTATACAAGAAGTTAATGTATATATCTCTGAGCAGTTTGTTTGAATATTAAGTGGGAAGGATGTCCATGTAGGGCGAACAGAGGGTTTACAGATAGTTCAGAGGCGTGGCAGTGCTAGTGCAGGAGAGACAAACATAGCAGTCAAGCCACAACAGTGAGCACAGTCTGTCGTACGGTTTGCAAAATTTTCGAGTGTTACAAGGGCCCAGCGAGCTTTTCAACACCAGTACAACTGTCACCATGTCCCTTCACATCGGACATTGTGGGAGGCAGCAGACGATCAGTGGTTACATCAGTGAATGTTCACGGACGAAGCCAAATTTCATGTGAGTGGCCAAGTCAATACACATAATACTATCATTTGGGGAACTGAGAATCACAAGTCTCTTACAAACTGGAACCAGCAACTCCTAAAGTCAACATGTGGTGTGGAATGACCCATGACAAAATGTATGGTCCAGTCATGTTTGCGGAGGGAACCGTTTGTGCTACCTATTACCTAGACCTGCTCCAGGAGTTTGTACTCCCACAACTGATGCAAGATGGGGTACTGAACACCATCTTTTCCAATACAACGGCACTCCACCACATTGGGCTCTCATAGTGCGGGAGTCTTTTAGACAACACAATGCAACAATCACTGGCGCGGCTGTGATGGGCCCATCCCATGCTCCGCAAATTCCATGAACTTGATGCCTCCAGACTTTTTCATGTAGGAGTACATCAAGTCACTTGTATATGGACAAAGACCACAGAATGAAACTGACCTCTAATAGAAGATCACTGCAACCTTTACACAAATAACTCCAGAAATGCTGTATGCTAGATGATGCAACTTGTCCGTGTGGTATGAACTGTGCCATGTATGCCATGGCAGTCATGTTGAATGTTAACGTGTTGGGACACGAAAGTGGTGTCCTTCCTATGAGGGTTGGAACTTTAATAGTGGCAACTATTTATTTACAACCGATACAAAATAGATGCATGTTTCAAAGTTTTGCTGTCCTTCACTGTAGTCACCAGCATTGTGTACAACCTGTTGCCAGTGATGTGGAAGTCATAGGATACTTTTAGAAGCACCTGTTATGTTGATAGTTCAAATGGAGCGATCTACTGCCTGAAGAATCTCTGGAATAGTTCTGAAGCGAATGCCATGAAATGGTTCCTTCATCTTAGGAATCAAGTCGAAGTCACAAGGGCTTAAGTCCGGGGAGTATGGTGGATGGTACAGCACTTCCCAGCCCCATCGATTGAACAAATCAGCCACAGCTTGCGCAGCATGTGGCTTAGCACTGTCCTGCAAAATGATGGGTGGGTTCTGCAGAAAGTGTCACTGCTTCTTTCTCAAAGCTAGTCGCAGGTTGTGTTCCAAAAATGAACAGTAATACTGCGCATTGATGGTCTGCTGTCAGAGAACGGTATGCATTAGGATAACACCATCACAGTCATACATGAGAATCACCATAACTTTCACACTGCTGGGATTCAGACAAACTTTTGATTTTCGTGGTGACCCATAATGACACCATTCGTTCAACTGGCGTTTCATTTGTGGCTTGTATGATTTTGCCCATGTCTCATCCAGTGTAATGATACAGCATAAGAAAGCCTCTCCTTCACGCTCCATGTGGTTATGAGCAGTGTCGTATCACAGTCATTTCTGCATTTCCATCAAATCATGCGGAACTCATCGTGATGCAATTTTTCTCATGCCAAGGCATTCCTTCAGAATGTGAAGCACAGTTGTATGCGCTAATCCTGTCTCTTGGGCCAGCTCACAAATCGTATGGCATCAATCACTCTCCAGTAAAGCTGGAAGTACACTTCTTCACTGACACTAGGATGACCTGGCCGACGCATGTCTGCCACATTTTGGCGTCCCTTGTTGAAGGCGTTTACCCGCCTTGCCACTGTTCGGTAAGGCAATGCAGATTCTCCACAAGCCTCTTGAAGACCTTGATGACACTGTCGTGCTGTACGGCCTCTGGCACATTCAATCTTTATCCAACTCGCTGTTCCTGTTTTGAAAACATCGTGACAACACTACATTAGACCGCCAGCTAACATGAGACTCTGTTCATCTCGTCACTGCACATGCGCGTGATGTGGGAAGGGAGATTCCATTTGCTCTGAGGTAGGGTAGGTATGTAACTAACGTGTGGTATGGACGACATTACTTGGTTCCGTTGCATGGCGTCTCTACAGCAGTGTTGCCTCTATTAAAGTTCCAACCCTCATGCATGTCTATGTACCATTAACTGGTAATAAAGTGGATTTTTTCTCCGTTTTCATTTGTTTTTGTGACATCTCAAATGGATCACCTTGTATGTTAACTAAATATGATCATACAAAGAACATGAATATGTTGCTCTGAGTGCTGATACAGGTCCCATGTCCATTTTCCAAGCTTGATTCCTCACTCTTCCTGGACTATCTACACTGTGCTTAATTTCACAAGCTTCAGAGCAATTATTTTTGTATGAAACGCACTACTTCATACATATAAAGAATTAAACATATTTCAACATCTGAAAAATTTCCATTTTTGGAACATGGAATCACCCTAGCACTTTTGTTGCCCCAAGTTTTCATTTATAAAAAACTATTGCTTTGGAGTTTACTAAATAGGTAACACACAGAGGATCAATATATTATTAATAATCGCAGTAAAATGTTTGAGGCTGAAATAATCCAGGCCAGCATCCAACTCATATCTGGAGGGTTACAAATGCACTTATCTTAATCTAAACCACATTATGAGAAATTTAAAAACTGACAATGTAAGAGTATATTGCTTAAACAATGAATTGTGTCAGGCCTAATTTCAAGGATCAGGAACTGTATGGAAGCTGAAATTGAAGCAATACCTGGAACCTGAGGAAAGTCAAGCTATTCCTCAGTCAGCAATGGTCTCTCAAAATACAACTGTCATGTACTTACTTGGTTGATTCAATCCTTCTGCATTTAGAAGGTCAAGAAGAAAGGAGCGTTTGTCATGCTCCTCTACCCACACTACCTTCTGAGTTATGTTCTCTGATGTGGAGCCAACACGGCCCACTGCCAAGAATATATAATTATCTAGGAAGTCCCTGGCCAGGATCTGCACAGTTTAATAAATGGCATTAAAGTAAAATATGCACCACAAAAGTAAAAAAGGCAAGTTCAGGATGGAGTATGTTCAGGCTCAATGGCCAAAAATGGGGAAAAAAAGTCTTCCTTACTGAGTTATTAAAATGTGACCCCATATTTGAGCTCTTTTTTTAACAATTTCATTCATTTGTAATCTTATCAGCAACTGATACCCTGCAATCAGATATCTAAAGACAATTTAACCCCTTCACTGCATATTACAGGGTCTACCAAAAAGAATGCCAAAATTTTGAACACTCAGAACTCAGGAATGAAAACAGGTGTGATGTCATGTTGGTATGTGCAGTGTGATCGTACACTCAAAGTGTTTCAGAGACACAATTTGCATGTGCATCACAAGTGCAGTTAACCTTTAAATGTCAAATTTTTTAAATGGTAGTAGGGTGGGCTGGACAGAGTTTAATTAAATGCCTGCTGCTGTTGGGTGTTTGAATGTCCTTTGGCATTTGGCTCTTTAAATAATTTTAAGCACTTCATTAAAAATTATGTATCTAACATAATTTTTATGATAAAGGAATGGTATTAACCCTTCCACTGCTAGTATGATAAGTAACTCTCAGTACCCTCTGTACTGAATTATTTTTGAATAAATCTTTTACAAATAATTTAAGTGCAAAGTATGAAAATGTGTGATAAATATGTAATTAATCTCACCTCAGAGAGGGAACAGGCCATAGAAGTTGCAAAAATGTTGAATTATTCAGTATTTTTCACAGGTGAAAAAGTCCATTAAAACAGAGTTGTCCAAGATGGCCAAAAAAGTACATAATTCACTATCCTAGAATCACTGTACTTATATAACAGTCTTACCACTATGTCACATGTTGACCAAAGTCCACAACTTTATTTAAAACTATTATAGATTTTAAACCAAAGTCAGGGCTGCCCAAAGTAATGTATTATGCACATAAACACTTTAAATACTGTCAGTAGTAGTTTCATTACAATATTTACACATTCCACTATGCACCTTCAAAAATTTTTGTAATGTATGATCCTTTTGGAAGCAGGGGTGTACAGAGACCAACACTGCATTTAGCACACATGTACCGGCTCTCACATCTCCTTCTCTCTCCACTTGCTGTGTTTGAACACAAATGACATTGCCTGTTGGGATACTTCTTCTTTGGTGTTGGTGGTACAGGAGATGGAAAATGTCATTCTGTAAGTTTGAGTGGTTGGTCACCATCTGAAGGATGTCCTCTTTTACTTGTTTTTCTAGGGATATGGTAGTTTTGGATGATCTGTCTGATAAGTTGAAGCTGGAAATCTGCTAGAGATATGTTCTTGCTGATTTTTACATTGAAAAGTGCATGTGAATTCAAGATAGTGATATCCAAGATGTACAGAAAAAATTTTCTATACCATTTCAGCGATTTTCTTGCACATTCGATAGAGGTGATCATCATGTCTGTCCTGTCAACTGCTCCCATGTTCTTGATATAGTCAATGACACAGTGTGGTTTCTCTATTTGTTGTTTTGTGTGTCTATCCTGTTTCCCTGTCTGTCTCATTGTATTTGAGTGTAGTGTAGTTAGCATGCAAACTTCCTTGTGGTCAATCCACCTGACAGCCTTCATCTTATCGGTTGACCTTGAATCTGTTTGTCCTATCTAATTTTGTTTCTGAAAATTTAGGCATTCCTTTTCTGTTTTTCTTGACAGTGCCACACGTGTTTGTCTTGTTGGTGTGAAGATGGTCATACAATTGTGTACTCCAGTACCAGTTATCTATCCACAATGTATGGCCTTTCTGTAAATATTTCTCCATAAGTGTCATTACAAAAGCACCAGATACTCGAAATTCACAATCAGGTACTATTTTTGTAGTTGCCCCTGTGTACACAATAAAATCTAATACATATCCTTTTTCACAATCACAAATTACAAACGTCTTTATTCCAAATTTGTGTCTTTTTGATGGAATGTACTGTATGAATGAAAGTCGACCCTTGAAAAGTGTCAAACTTTTGTCAATGCAGAGATTTTGAAATGGAATAAAAACTTGACTGAATTTTGTTCCGAGATGGTGGATGGTGGGTTTTATTTTGTACCTTCAAGCTGACTGTTATCATCACTGAAATGTATCAATCTCAATAATAATAAATATCTGACCCTAGACATGAAATCAAAAAATTGGGGGGTGGCAAGTAGGGGATCAGTAGACCAGTAGTCTAATTGATAATTTTTTTATCCTAACCATAAGCATTGTAAAGGCGAGAAAAACATGCAATTCTTCTATTGTTATATTCGTCCATTTTTGTAGCCTTGCCCTGTAGATGGTGGAATTTTGTCCATCACAAACTGGTAATATTTGTTAGTTTCCGATGCTATTTCCTGCATAGTTTCCCAAAAAAAATACACCGAAAAAATTCTAAAACAGGTGGTTCATCTTGAATTTCATTTGTAGAATTTCCCAAAGCACTGTCATCAAATATGTGAATGACTGGACTGAATGCACCACTATGGCACTGAAACAATGGTGGATTGGGGCGATTCTTTTTCTCGAAGGTTGTGGAGCTGCTTGATCAATTACTGCGCTACCACTATCTTCATTATCACTAGGATGATATTCACTGTCAAAATCACCAATTTCTGAATATTCATCATCTGATTCTACAGTGTTTATGGCGACCAAAAGTTCTTCATCGGACAGAAAGTACCGTGGACTATATGAAGCCATTTTTACTAGCCCTATGATATACTCGCATCACATGACCACCGAGCGCGTGCTTTGCTCTGCAGATGCAACCTTTTACATTTCTTAAGCTAGAGGGCAGAAAAATACAGAAATTGAAATGAATGATGCTTCATTACGTTCCCAATAGATGACTCTATGCAGCTGCCAAGTTTGAAAGAGATTGGTACAAAGAAACATGAGATTTGAAACTCTATACGGGTTTTGTCCATTGCAGCAAGGATGCCATGTTTTTCAGAGATTGACATATGTCAACCACAGCAGTGTAAGGGTTAACCTTGTTTCTATCAGCAAAGAACATAATGTCACACATTGTAACATAAGATTTGAAAATATTCAGGCAAAAAAGTTATACTTTTTTTGTTGTAGTTTTCTGTAAGTTCACAGTGAATTCAAATATTGTAATTTCATTTCATCATACAATGGCAATGAAAACATGGTTTGAAGATGATGAAATTGAAAGGCAGCTGAAGTACAAAACACGTGATATGGGAGTGCATTCTCGGGTGCTTCAAGGAGTAACATACAAAGGCGTTATACAGTCAGGTGTGTGTGTGTGTGTGTGTAGCCTATACATACATCCAGAAGATAACAAAAAAGGTATGTACATTGAATTTTATTACATTTATAAGTAACTTTTTAGAATTGTGTGTGCGCTTCCACTAGTGGAGTTCAAATGCTTGATGCACGAATGCGTACTTCAGGCAACGACGTATGTACCTTTCAGTATACTGATATGTGCACTTGGGCCGTTAGAGGTTAAAAGACAGCAGCTTTGATTACACGTTCTGCGTAATTGTACATCATTTATTGTACAACAAAAAGCACAATGTTATAGCATGCAACATTTTAAGCCATTATCTTAGTTCACTGTGAATTCAGACATGAGTATGGAGTCTGACTGCCAGAAGATGAGGTTTAAAAAGAGGGTATGAGCAATTTAAAGGGACTAGCAGTGTGGAAAAGGGGCATTCAACTGGGTAGCCTAGGAGGTCTGATGTAGATGTGGACTGTATTAGCCTTTCATACAAAGTATGAAATGTAGAAATCACAGAACTGCATTCATGAGGATCATCTGGAAACAAATGTGTGCTCTATGTGAGTAGTGGTATGGATGCAATATGCTGTAATGAAACACTCTGCGGACCATCAGTTGGGATAGCCAAAATTCTCATGCATTATTGCATGAGCTTCCCAATCACTCTCATTCATAACTTCAATTACGACATATTCGATGGCTGGAGTGTGTCCAGTCTGTAAGGAACCTACATTCACATGTGACACTGTGTTACAATTCTGTCTCAAAGAGACACTGTTCCAATCATCTAACACACTGCTATCTGAATGATACTGCATATTCTGAACCAGCAGTACCAGACTGACTACTATGGGTACCAAGGCATATGAGCATATTGCTGTATTCACACTGTGTGTATTCTATAATCATTTGATCCCACCGACCCGTTGTGCACTGTGTGTCCTGAGCATACCTACCAACATGCTATATATTGCCAATACTGTTGTAAAGTATGTTATACCATTTGATAGTGATGTGTATTTCATAAACTAAGAATCTCATGACGTGTCGTATAACATTTTTGACATTTTTTAGCAAGGAATCATACTATCACTAGCTGGTGTGAGAATTTCACTTTAACCTCTATATCCAAGTTGCACTCAGCTGCAGACTGCAAACCTTTTGGTTTTGCTGTTTGGCTCACCTCCCATGCATTCCTTGGTTTACTTTTACTTGATTGATCAGTGGTACCCTGGTAGTTTGGTAACTCTGATTCTGTATTTTACTGTTATTCAATTTGACTGTATTCCAGAAAACCTGTGCAGGCCGGAAGGCCGGACTGTGTGTGTTCTTTATATATACAGGATATCCCACAAATTTATGTCATAAAATCAAGCACTGATTCCTGAAGTCAATCTGGGTAAAATACGTTATTTCAACATGGTTTTGGAACTACGGGTAGTTGAAATGTACCACATACATGCAGTGGGCATGGATGTGGTTAGGCAACTTCTACAAACTGAATTGCAGGCCCTCTATCCCTAACCAGCTGCGGTGGTATGACGACGAGGCCCGTTCATTCACCAGATATCAGCCCCTTACATTGTGGTGAAAGGGGTCACATGAAAAACATGGTCCAGGAATACAATCATTTTATCTTTTCCTAATAAAAATGTTCTGTCCAATAAACTCCTTCAAGTCAAGCTCATTTAAAACACCCACGGCTCAGAACCTGTTGAAAACAAGACCATCACAAGGAACATCTTTCACTCAAGATGATCTCTGTAGTCACCTCCTGAAATTGACATAAAGTCAGGGGACACCTGTAATATGCACAAGCATGTGCACTCTCCTCCGAATGTGCACACATTAACCTTTAACGGCCGAATGCTATAATTATTCGCATCAAGTAGCAAGCTGAGCTGGCCGAATGTTATAATTTTTAGGGGCAAGCCACGTCCTTCCTTTGTGAGTGCTGGCAGTTTGACCTTGGGTTTGAAACCCAAACAAACTCATGAACGCTCATGTCAGACGTTTATTTGTTAGCTCTGAACAATGAAATCGTTTATCAGGGTACTGGCTTCGAAACTATTTACGTTTAGATATGACTGTTTATGACCTGGTGAGCCAATAGAGGTCAGCTTTGTTTTGAGAAGTTAGAGGAGGAAATATTCGTAAGCACTTTCATAGCAGTGCTACCAGATCTTTCAAGGAAGTGTGGCTCATTCAGGGATTGGTTTCCAGTGTTGAATTCTCAGTTAGGACGTCAGTGGCGGATTTTCTATATTTTGTTAAAAGTTAGGAAGTCAGTGCCACTCTTCCATATTTCTTTTATATCATTTTTATTGTGTATCTCGGAAGTGGTATAAACCCACTGAGCCAGTGTTACTTTGTGCGTAAAGACATCTTCGTCACTGTGACTTTCGGTATCAGTGGCAGACTGGCACTTTTCGACTGCTATTGCAATTACTTTGCATCACAATTTTGCGAGTATTCTTCCACCTACTAGACATGACTATTCTCAATGAATATCTGTTACACAAGTCATGTGATGGAAAAATGACGCACAAAAAATTTCCTGGAATTTTGGTGCGTGATTTCATTCTTCAATCACATGAGGCGAATATCACGGTCAGTGGTGTTTCTCAGGGGAGGCCAAGTTCATCTGGGGCCCAACTGAGTCAACCAGAGGATACTGGCCAGCTAAAGGGAAACAAAGACGTTTGTTCTATAAATAAGAAAAGCGGGAGCACGCTTTACTGCTGAGGAGTGTGATGTCGCGCTGTGTGTGGTGGACTGCTTCAAGAAATGGCACACGCGTCAGAGTGTAATCTGTGAAGTGACGCATTCCAAACCGTGTACAGTCCGAACCAAATATTACTGTATATAGTGTCGTCATATTTACATCACCACAACGATTCAAGGTTGAAGAAAAACAACAGGTAAGTCCTTTGGAATTCCATAACGTATATAATTATGATTATATTTTGCACTTCATGACAAAATACTCACAGTTGATTTTCATTTGTAAAACTTGCCCTTTTGTATATATGTAGAAAATTTTATTGTCTTTCAGGTTCCTTTTAGTTCATATTCCGATGTTGCATAGAATGGAAAATATGCATTTTTTTCTGAAAGTTTGCAATGTTAAAGACTTAGGGCCATTTAAATTCCGGCCGTGGGGAGCTGCCGGCAATTTAAAAGTCCGTATGTTAAAGGTTAAATTAATGTATTGTGACGTATCATCAGTCCTACTATATTATTACTGGCATCTTCAAATCCAATACTCACTATTTTATACAGGAATTTTACTCTTATGAGTTTCATAGACAAACATGTGACCTGGATGAACATATGCATCTCTCCTTTATCCCTCAATTTATGCATTAAAACTTACTATGTTAGACTATATCTCATACATGCCTGAATCTCTTTGGGAAATGTTGCAGAAAACATAAGTGTCTGCCTTTCACCAGTTTTAGGCATTGCATCCTGCTGCACAATACGTCTGATCTGTGGTTCAAAACCCATATCCAACATGCGGTCTGCTTCATCCAAGACCAGATACCTGAAATACACAAAGTCACCAAAATCTTTAACTTATCTGGGGTTCCGGAGAATTAATGTGAATATGACACACATATAGCACAACCAATTCATACCACAAAACACATATAGGTTAACACATTCACATCTTGAAACACCTTCCCACACAATGCCTATCAATGTAGATTTTTACCAAAATGAAGCAAAACTCCAATTACCATGCATATCAACACTATTTAGAAATTTCTCAGCCAACATGTCTATATATGTAAGAATCACAGAAGGCCACAGTTGAGCAAAGAAAAGTTGCAACTCAATGAAACATGAAAACAAATGAATGTACCCTCTCTCAGTGAAACAGACCAGTTGTGCAATACCACATTTCAATACAAATGCATTACTGAGTTTACTTAGGTTACAGCTCCGTGAGAACGCACAAAGAGGAAGGAAATAATTGAAATGTGATATTACTTGAATAAAACAGGCACCATGTATTCACAATCTGATCATGACATCCAACACATTAATAGGAACATGTTTTAAAGAAGTAGCCTTCAAAATGTTTCCAAAATGATTTATATCCTTTGCAGAAAACTAATGTACTGAACATACACAGGCTTTGAAACACAGCAAAACCTGGATTTTACCTTTCTGAAGGGACCAAAATGTTCACAACAGCCCTCCACTGGTAATTAACCTGAACCAGATCAATTCAGTCCATATTACCCCACCATATTTTTTTAACTTAATCAAGAGGAGGCCTTCTTGAGAAGCTGGCTGTGCAGCCACTCAAGAACTTCCCAACATTTTATGGAACTTGAAGGTTCATTACCATGTCCACAAGAGCCCTCCACTGGTCCTTAATCTGAACCAGATCAATTCAGTCCATACTACCACACCATAATTTTCTAACTTAATCGAGAGAAGGCCTTATTGAGAAGCTAGCTGTGCAGCTACTCAAGAACTTCCCCACATGTTATGGAAGGTTCATTCCCATGTTCACTAGAGCCCTCCACTGGCCCCTATCTTGAGCCAGAGCAATCCAGTTCATACCACCCCATCCTATCTTTTTAAGATCCATTTTAACATCATCCACCCGCTTAAGTCTTGGTCTTCCTAGAGGTCTCCTTCCTTCTGGCTTTCCCACCAGTATCCTATATGCATTTCTCTTCATGCCCATTCATGATACATGCACTGCCCATTTCATCCTCCTTGACTTCATCATTCTAATTATATGTGGTGAAGACTACAAGTTATAAAGCTCCTCACTGTGCAGTTTTCTCCAGCCTCCAGTCACCTGATCCCTCTTCGATCCAAACTTTCTCCTCAGCACCTTGTTCTCAAACACCAAGTCTATGTTCCTCCCATAATGTCAGAGACAAAGTTTCACACCCATACAAAACCACATTTAAAATTAACATAAAATCAAGGAAATAAGAATTATGTAGCTCTTTAAATTAAATACACTAAATAAATACTGTATTACTCATATATTACAAGTGTAACCTACTTCAGCATTTTGCATTAAAAATGTAATATAGTTCACTTCTTCCATATGTCCATTAAAGTAAGTGGCTACTGCTTTCCGTTCTGCTGAATCCTGTACACCTCATTCTCAACACAACACTCATGTCATCAGCAACACCAAACTTCATGATATATTTCTTCAGTGTCCATGTCCACATGGGCAGACAAATATGCTGCTGCAGATTAACTTTTTCCAATCACCATCTTCCTCCTCCGCAGACACATCTGGTGCAAACTTTTCAATCATCATCTGTTCTAAGGTCTGCACATCACTTGTAACATTATCATCACAGGATACATATTCTTGAAATGACACACCTGCTTTCATCTGATCCCAGTCATCTCTGGCTATACTAAGTTCTACTGCACCTTCAGCACCGCTGCTTTCAATTAAACTGCATCACATTTCTGATAAAAGTTGACTATCACTGCATGTTTAACAGTGCCATCATTCTGCAATGAACTGCTGTACTTCCAAAACATTTACCTTCATGAGTGCTGGTTGCATTAGGAAAGCAACTTGTGATCAATCACAGAAACAATTTTTCTTACAAGTTGCTTATTGTAATGTTCGAATGACCCGTTTATTCCCAGGTCAACTGTTGGAGAATGCTGGTGCAGTCTGGGGTGGAGGTACAATGAATAACACTTTGGCTTCATTTTATTTGCTTGGGCCTCTACCATTTTTGCTGTGTTGATAGTTCATACAATATGTACCAGTCACTCTTCTTGAGAACAGGGGGTTACATACTTCTTTCTTCCAACTCCTGGATTTAGTTTTTTAGATTCTATAAAGATCTCGCAATTCAAAGGAATAACAGGATGGTGCCGCAGAACAGCATGCCTGTATTAGCGAGGCACTACATTAGAATGCTGGCTGGAACACTGGCTGTTGGGAGGTTTTTCATGGGTTTCTTCAACACTCCCGGGTAAATGTTGGTATAGTATCTCAATTAGGCCACAACCAGTTTCTTTCAAATCCTTACCAATTCACTAATCATCTTATTATTCAGTGCTATATGGTCTGAGATACTGACAGCACTGTGAAATGAACAGCAGAGAAAAATGAATAATTATACATATTCTCACGTTTCTGTCCAAATGTGCTTCTGTAAGTTTAAACAGTTTCAGTAATGGTCCTGGCAAAGTTGGTGACAAAATTGTTGCAGGCTGTCACTGCTCAGTACTGACTTGATTTTGATATAACATTCATATTAAAATTATTGTCATTCATAATTTCTGCAATTTCTTCTTCTCTTAGTGGTCCTTATTTCTTCACAGCCATGAATGCACTTCTACAGAACCCATAAACACAAATGAAGGCAATGCTGTGCATGAGAGATAAGATGTGACCTCACACAACTGCCACATCTCACATGTCAGCAGATTCATTATTACACAGACTAAACCAAGCATGCTGTAAATACAAGGACGGATAGAGGGGAAAATGAGATAAAATCTAATCTAAAGGACCCCTCAATGAACCTCTATTCATATGCCAAGGAATCTTCTGCAATTTTATTCAAACCAAATGAAGACACGCACTACACTGACTTCAGCAGACAGTAGACCATACCAACAATTCAATTTTTGTTGATTTTCGCACTGAATGTGTTACTTCAAAAACCAGTTTTATACTACCATGCTACTGTATCAATATACAAAGTTTCTTGAATTATTTGCAAGAAAATTATTTTACTATAAACCTTGATTTACTGTAAGAGATTTACTGACTAAGGATTCACTGTAAACAGCTTAGATTATATTCTGCTGTACTTTAGCGGGTATGGCATTTAAAATATTATGTAATTACTTTTATACAATATGAGCTATACATGTATATGGGCAATAGTATGATTAACATATGAATATTACCTGCAATTCTCTAGCCCAATTTTGCCTCGTTCAAGCATATCTACAAGCCTTCCTGGTGTAGCAACCAACAAATGACAGCCACGATCCAGTTCCCGCATTTGGTCTCCAACATTGGCACCACCATATCTACATCAATTACATAATTTTACTACTGAATGTCCTTGAGACAACATAGATAACACTGCTGTACAAAGTGTGCAGGTCTCAGTATTATACTTCAACAGTTATCTTCAGGTTTCAAATGTCATAATTACCATCACTGACCACCCTCCCCAAATGATGCTGATGACGATAATGCCAACAACAATATACAGAAGCTGCATTTACAGAATACAAGCTTCATTAGACTTCCATTACAATAAAAAATAATCAGCATATTATTGTAGAAATTTCTGATAAGCATTAAATAATGTAAACTTTCTAAGTGGATACCCTTGAATTAAAGAAATAAAAGTGACTATACTGTATTTTCCACTTCAATAACTGATCTTTAATTTATCTGACACAAAATTACTTACACAACACAAGGGCGCAACCGGGAACGGTATGAAAACTTGCGCGCCTCATCATATATCTGAGTAGCCAATTCCCTGGTCGGGGCCAATACCAAGCCCAGTGGGTACTGCTTGCGACGACTGTATGACTGAAACAACATGAACTACTGTCAATCGTATTATTTCCTAAAAATAAATAAAATACGATATGCTTTAACCTTTTGCACACCATGAGATTACCAGACTGGCTTGGCATACGTGTTAAAACTGCCACAGAGAAAGAGATATCAATCACTTAGTACAGAATTCGTGTCAACAGATGGGATGCATGTGTGATGTATCAATGTTTTAGAGGAAGGAACTGGCTCTCACGCTATATGCGTCATTTCAAGGAAATCTCTGAAAGTATTGTGGTATTTCTGTGCATGTATCCTCAAGCAGCCTTTACATTTCTAGCAGTTAGTTTCAGGGCAGGGAGGGCTTCGTAGTAAAAGAGTCAGGGTTTTAGGACTTACCCTGGCATTGATGTTTGCTTGCTGTGGGCCCCTCTCATACATTTGGTTCAGAATTGGAACCAGAAAAGCAGCAGTTTTGCCAGAGCCTGTCTGGGCACAGGCCATGAGGTCCCGTCGAGACATAATGATTGGTATAGCATATTTCTGCACTGGTGTTGGTTTGTCATATCGTGCTAATGCAATATTATTGGAGATTATCTCAGTCATCTGCACATCATCAAACTTGAAGCAAAAGAGAAAATACATTTCAACAGTGTATATGGGTGTTTGGTATGAGGGTGCCTCACACTGGCATAGAATTTCTAAAAATCTGTCTTCCATCTCACTATGGGACTCATATATATAGTCAACTAACATTCTTTGAACTTTGAAAGTGTTAAACCTTTTAAAAAAGGTAAAGTTGTCCTTGTGCTTAACTAATTAAGCACTATGCGGTGAAGGCATATGGGGGAGTTGATATGTAGATCCACATTTTCTTGACCTTGGCACTATCTGGAGGTGTGGTCAGCTTCACACCCCTGCTACTTTACCCCCGGGAAAAAAGGCCCCAGTACCCACTGGATAGGAGGCTTGGTGGATCCCAGAGCCAGCCCAGNTGAGGTGTGGAGCCAGCCCAGATCATATGGAGAAGAGAAAAATTCAGACCCTACCGGGACTCAAACTCCGACTCCTCAGTCATCCAGCCCATAGGCAGTCACTATACTGACCGCGCTATTCCAGCTCACATGTTAAACCTTTTAAAACCTTAAAATGATTCTAGGCTTACCACCATGCTGAAACCTAGATTTCCAGGTTTTTCAATGGCACTAAATTTTCCCACTTTCCTCAGCATATTCAACCACTTTTAAGTCACCTGCATTGCCCAAACACACACACAAAAATAAGTGAACCTTTACTGTGTTCCAAATAAAACTGTCTCATGCATACGGAGTCACTGTAATCTCAACTAAAACATGCTGAATTTTTCTGGAAAATTTAAATTGATTTTCTACCATAAAATCTGGACATTATATGAGTTAATACTTGTAGAATGGGCAAAGAAAGTATTTTCAGGCTTAGATTATAGGGCGCTCTCATGCATTCAATAAATATGCATTTCTGAGTTAATTAAAATACACAAGTCATGAATAAATACCTATTTATTTTAAACATAGGATAAGCTAACTACATTTTATAATTATAATAAACCACTAATACCAATGATTACTCACACTGACGATATGGTCTGGTACGTTGTCTCCCGTCGCCTCCACGGGAATGTCCTCATATTTATTAAAATTGATGCCAGTATTGCCTGAACCAAACAACTCATATTCAAGACGTTCATCTCTTGCTGTGGGAATGGTCCAGTCCACCTCTTGAAAATGACCTTCTTTCCAGCGACCTCCACCTCCTCCACCACTACTGCTACCACTCCCCCCTCCACCACTACTACTGTAATTTCGTCCGCCCTGTGGTTCTTGCCACCGATCATTGCGTGAAGGGGGAGGTTCATTACCACTTTTTTCCTGCCAACGGCCACCTCCTCGACCACTCCAATCAAAATCCCTGCCATCAATATTCCTGGAGAATGATCACAGTGAATACCATATTTCAATACACAATTCATATAACCACATTTCTAATAATAATATTAATAAAAGGATTAATCCCTGTACAGTAATTTCTGTTGTGTATGAAAGATGACACTTATGAAAAATGCTGTTACCAATGCCTGAAAGGGATAACAGATAAAAAAATTTATGTTAGTTTAATACTCTCCTTATAAGTTTTAATTTTCCTTGCAAATTTAACGTCTCTGTATTCACTCTTGTCTACCTAAGTAGTCTAGAATACTGTCAACACACTGTAGTTATATCCTATGGTTAACACAATCAGTTTCATTTTCCTAATTCTCAACCTCCCCTTCTTCCTGATCTCATTTGTGTGTGGCCACACTAACGGTATCATCAGTCATGTACTGGAAGTCATATTCATATGACTAACTTTGCGGTCACCTTTCAAGGTTTCCTTTAACACTTTCAAAACCCTTATTGTCAGTGTTTTCAATGAACTCTGGCACAAACTTTTAATGGACTCTTTAAAAAAAAAGTCTTCATCCATCCATGTTACTCCATACTGTAATAATGAACAGTACGGTCATGTGCTTCAGTGCTTCACGCTCGTCTGGCTGTCACTACAAATTTCTTTCTGTGGTTTCCAGATTAATCTGTACAACACACAGCCATAAGATATTCTTCAGATGATTTATGCCCAGGCACAATGCTCTTGAATAAAGGTGCTTCCCATAAAGTTCTGATTCATTGCCACTATACATTTGCACAGGCTTCAGGTCTTCTCTTAACATTAATTTTTAAAATTCTAGGTGTAGGGGATCAGCTGCAGCAGCACTGGCACTAAAGAGCTGCCCCTACACAACAATTTCACAAATTCTGAAGCTGTTTCTGAAAACTCGTCAAGTCACCCATGAAAGAATCTAGCATTCTACGTACACATGGGACCCCTGAATGTCATTCCTGTAGCTCATGCCTCAACTGAACTGCAGGTGTGCAACATCCAACTTTACATATGACGACTTTTTCACAAACTCATGATTCAAAAGGTCCAGCAGATGCAGTTCCAGACACATTGAGTAAACACTATGCCTCAATCTTTGGTCAGTGCTGTCAAGTACCCTTTTTCAAATTCAGTGATTAATCCAAGCTTCTGGATATTATCCATCATCCTGTTTGTACTTAATAAATGTCCAGAAACAAAATACCTGTATTAATATACCATCATATAATTTTTATATTTTATTCTGCTTTGTCAGCACAGGTTTTTTCCATTATGCTCAGCCACTCACCTAGTTCATAAGTAAAGTATCACCTTTGCAATACATGATGCACATCTCAATGTAGCACAAGAAACATGCAAGGACTACTTCCAACAGCAACATGTAAATTATAAAAATGGTATTGTTCGGCAGTATCTGGAAATCCCTGTTGCAATGCTGCAACCAATTTTCATCTTCTCCCTCCCAGCTACGACATCACACCATCACTTCTTGAATGGTTCATATACGAGTACTGCCACCTGGTGATGCTGCTCTTTAATGTGACACTGATAACTAAGAATAATGTAACACAGATGGTATTCATATGCATTCTGCAGCTGTGTGCACGACAATGAACTGTGACTGGGGTTAAACCAACATTACAATGTTGTTGTGTCATGGAGGAGGAAATGAAACACTCTTCCAATAATGCATGTGTTTAGACGACCAGCCCTAAGTGATGGCTAAACATGACATGCCACAACAGAGCACATACTGGACACACAGTCCAATGCCCCTCCCTTCCATTAGTGCCCTTGGTGACATTCAGCCTTTCAGCATACTTTTTACCCCAAAACGTGTTAACTAATTTTAATTGTGACATTTTTGCTATTACTGTTAGATCATCCCTTCTCTGGACTCTCTAACCTCCACTCTGCTGTTTGAGACAAGGAAAGGATGAAGGCCTTGTTAGTTCAAATGCATCTGTTTCTAAAAACAGTGATTACATAGGATAAATAAAAAACATGCATCGACATGTGGCTTAGGAACAAACTACATAAGCCATGGCCAAATGTACATAAACAGTTTAAATTAATTACTACACAACGTTGACCAACAACAGATTTTGGTTCACTAAAAGTAAATATTACAGTGTTTGCCACTGCCGATCACAGTGGCCGCACGGTCTAAAGCATGAACTGTCTTCACCAGCTCGAATGCTGGGATCATGGGTTCAAATCCCACTCAAGTCATGGATGTCCATGTATGCGTTTATCCTGTGTGTAGGAAGCAGCCTTGTAACGGGCTGACCACTCGTCCCTGTGTAAAAAGGGATTACAAAACTCAGGAAATGCCCAGGGCCCATCAAAGGGCTGTAGAGCCATTGATGGATAAATGAATGAATGAATGAAATGAATGTATCTGCACTACACAAAAATTATGAAGACAAAACTGTCATGGGAAAAGAAATATTTAAAGTCTTTGCCTTTACAGACACTCAGGTTTCTAGAGATAACTTATAAACAGAACAAGTTTCACAAATGTCAGTAACACACATTTAGTAACTTTTAACAAAACAGAGTCTGATTTTCACACTCAAAAGTAGCAAATTACAAAGGTGAACAGCAGAAAATTCATGACTCTGGAATCTTTCCAGTTGATTTCCTGGTTTCTGTTCACCAGTAGAAGTGATTTCTATCAGTTCTGAAAGAAGTTTTCACACTGCCTAATCCTAGAGTCATCACATCATTACTAAATTAAAGACTCAAAATTGATTTAATCACATATAATTACATACAAATTTTGCATAATTAAAATGTGATGTTCAGATTCCTATTTTATAGTTACTAATGTTGCTTCATTGTCTCTCCCGCATCCTAAGGCATATGTCATTACATCATCTTACACACACCTTTGGCTTAGGGGAGATCCCTATTAATTTTGCACAGAAATGACTGCAATTACAAGTTTACAGAACTTGCTGTGTATAAAATTCTGTGCCTCAGTAATCATTTCATGCTGAATATTGACCAGTGGCTTCATCTGCTTATAAATGTACATTATGCACCTGCTTGCAGGGCGGTAGCTACTGTTTTCTCTTCCCCAATCGTCTCCTCCGTTAGTGTATGGCTGACCACCGTAGCTTCCTTCATTCCTTCTGCTGCGGTAACTGCTGTTATAGTCTCCACCACGACCTTGTTGGTTGCCTGTGTAATCAACGCACAGTAATTACTAATTTTAATGGAAAAATACCAAAGCAAGATGGTGGTATTACACAGAACTGTTCAAGTACTCACTTCTTAAAAAAATATTTAAGTTCAAGATTTGTAACAAAACCTGTTAACAAAAATAACTTACACGTTTAAAAATGCACATTCAAAAAATATGGGAAACAACTTTGTAGTACTATATCATGAATATTTTGTCTCTGAATTCAGTTATTAGGCCTAGTACGGAAATTCTAACTTATTTAACTTAATCTAATGCTGAAAAATGCGCATATGCACATATATGTGAGGCTACGTGTATCTGTAAAAAATTAAACTAAAAATACACACCAAAATAATAATTCTGAAGAGGCCTGACAATAAATAGTCCAATAAAGAGATGGGAGAGTTAAAAAAGTAGTAAAAACTAACACGCTATATAGTGACATATCATTAGGTCCTAAAAACCATTCCAGGAACTCTGAAGAAAAACATAAAAGATTCAAGCTTTAAAACAATATGAAACAAATTCAGTTAAATCAACTTGTAGATTCCTATACAGTTCACAAATACCAAACATCAGACATAATTTAACAGATGAGAGCACTGTGCACTGTTCCACAAAGATGGTAGGTATGGCAGTAGTCATTATAAAATGGACTTTTGATCAGAATACGCAGAACAGTGTCGGGTTCCTAAGAGGATGTAGAAAAAGGTGCAGGCTCTCCATGCAACAAATGTTTTGTGTCAATATAAATGTTACCAATATGAAATCTGTTTTGATTCCATCCCCCATGAGGTAAGGGAAGATACCAGACACACACATGGAAGGTTTCACTGCCTGCAATATCTTACTCAGTGTATGAGGCCATACACATTGCCAGACTGATGAAACGTACCAAGGCCCAGAGCCGAAAAGTGGTTTGGGAAAAAAAAATTAATAATATACACACAAAATAAATATAATAATATAATTGGTTCAGTGAAATAAAAATACAAACTGTCCCAGATGAGGGGACGCCACAACGTAAAACCGTGCACCAACTCCGCCGTTAATTTAGCAAACCAAAAGTTCAAGAAATAATTTGGGGGCGAGAGAAGCACCAGACTCTTCCACGGTGTGCAGCAGAATCCCCTTGCAGTTTTCAGGCGAGACTGCTAGTCCCTGGTGAAAGGATGAAGGGTGCAAGCGTAGGGCAGGAGGAGAGGGGGAAAAGGAATGAAGGGGGGTTCTAGTTGAGGGACATGGCGGTGGTTTCTGACATTACACTGACAAAAGAGCAAACCTTCAATACCTAGAGATAATTCAGATGTTAAGGCATCAAGCAATGCAGTGCTGCTTGCTACCTATTTGCCTGGCTTACTTTTCAATCCTTAAAATGGAGGCAGTTTGTTCCTCCAAAACATCAGTGAACTTCTACCAGATTACATGGCATTACAACCCAGAAGACAGTATTTGCTATGTGAAAAAATGTTAATAATAATAATAATAATTCGATTATTTATGTGCTGAGCCAACAGCTGCAAGACCAATTACAGACACAACACAGTGGAGATAAAGTCAAAGACTAATTAAAGGTAAGCATTGGAGGAAAAACACACTAATGCATATAATAATTCAATTCAATTCAATTCATGTTTACTTATGTGCAAACCTAACAGCACAGTGGCCAATTACAACTGTTTTTAAGTGAGCAAGGTTCCAAAATTAAAAACTTCTCTTGTGGCTTTAATTATTACAAATTATTTATGCATAAAGAACTTGAGGTAGTAAACTCATACTGTGTGGTTATTTTGGGGGGAAAGAATAGTGTGTAGAGCCACTGCTATGCAACAACCACAATATGGGTGGATATACCAGTGCTGTTTCTAGGCAATGGCTCAGTAAACATGTTCCCATTTCTGGACAGCAGTTTCTTAATACCGCGACTGTTGGACTACAACAGTCGAAAAGCTGTGTTTTCTATGTGGTCTGTGCCAAGAGGTTATAAGCAATCCAAGGTTTGGAGCTTAGTCAGGTCAGAGTGAAAGTCTAGAGAGCCATCTGACCTCATCCCGCTTATAATTCCTAAGCACGGATGTTACCAAGCAATGACTAGTAGAAACTCAGTGCTTATAGTATTCATTTTTAGTGTGTGTGTAGATTAGTGAAAGTGTTATAAGTTCGCAGTCAAGACAGTAAGTCGGCTACAGCAGGTCTTGATTTGATTCATGACCTGTAAGGCACATGTGTTGGGCAGAGTGGTTGTCACGGACTTCACTTTACGTAGTGTGTTCACAGCCAACTTCCATGTGGTGAAGGTGGTATCTGTAAAGTTTGCTACCTGGCCACACATGTGCACAGTGCTGTGTGAAACAACAAAACAAGTGGTGAACTTCAGTGTACATCAATATGGCAGATGTCCCAGTACTGGGATTCAGGAAATAATGGAGACAGAAGCTAGCACTGCTGAAATCTGAATATCATGCCACCACAAATACCCAACAATCAGAAGCAGCTGCTGTAGTACAACAGGTACATAAAGTATTCAATGACACTGAGATTCTTGCTAGATGCACACTGGATAAAGTGGAGGAAAGCTCTGAATGGACCTCTACTGTGAATAGTGTGAAGGAGAACTTAGCAAACATTTGCAAAGGTCTGGATGGGAAGCCGCTTTTTAGCACTCTTTACAGCATGCACACAGTAACACTGTATGAACTGAAGGCCATCCTTAAGATGAGTGCAGAGGCAGGGCAAGAGGCGAGAATGACGACTTCCAGGAAGTAAAGTGACACAAGTGGAATATATATATATATATATATACACTCTCTCTCTCTCTCTCATACACACAGACAGTCACAAGACGTCAAATAAACCAGTCCCAATATCAGCACCTGCCTCCAAAACAGTTAACCTGCAACTTCTTCATACCTCTCAGAACTACTGACATGGATACGGAGACTATTGGGTCACAGCATGCACTACTGGAGCAGACGGCTCCCAGAAAATCAGGTAGGCTGCCACCAATGGTGATGACTTCTACCACAAACTTCATTCGACTCCAGAGATTTAAAAGAACATGTCAAAGAAGAGTAAAAGTTCTGAAATAATGAAATGGAACCCATATCATAACAAAAGAAATGGCAGACTATTCAGTCACAAAATCCTACCTGGAGAAAAATAATCTCCACTATTTTACTTTCTCCCCAAATTCTGAAAAGCCTATCACCTTCCCTGGACACACAGGCAGAAGATATTTCCAACAGCCTTGAGGACTCAGGCTTCAATATCATCGTGAGGCACATGACTGCCACTCGAAGAGCACCCGATGGGCAAACCCATGTGGAAACCCTTGCTCTATTCCTTGTTACCTTAAAAACAAACATAAAATCTCTAGAAATATACAAGCTGAGTAGCCTTAACCATATTATTACCAAGGCAGTTATACAGAGCTCAAACTAGCCTTATGATGTGCTACAACTGCCACAACTGTGGCCATGTCTGGGGAACTGCAAGCAACTGCTCGGGGTTTGTGGTGCAGTGGTGGCCACCTGCAGAGAATGGCCCTTAAAAGATATATACAGAACCTATGTCAAGCTGCAGCAATTACACAACAGTAGGAGAGAAACCTCATTCAGCATCATATCAAGGCTGTAGCCATGCAAAAGAAGAATTGCTAAAGAGAAGTGCACAATCAGCTCCAAAGGGATCCTATGTGAGGACGTCCTTCTCTAAGTTCACCTCATCAGAGCAGTTCTATGCAGTTGCACTGTGTCAAGACACTAAACACCAGCAACCATACGCATTGCAGACAGTTGGGAAAAACATGCAGCTCACCGTACAGCAGCATCTGCCACAATAGGAAATTCAGAAAACAGGTCTGTCAGTACAGGCTCCCAGTGCATCTAACAGTAACAAGTTAAAAGTAGCCACTGTAGTGCAACTGACCATGACAGAGTTGTCAAAAAAGACAAAATAACTGTCATTCTAAAAATTGTACTTAATAAAACAAAACTGCTGCTAGAGGCCTTAGGTCACTCAGTCATAGCATTTACTGCAAATGATATTTGGATGCAGCATTACGAGCTCTGTAAACAGCTAAGACCTGCATATAAACGTGGCTCTGCTCTCAGAGACACATCTCAAACCTCACAAGAGGTTATTTATTCCAAATTATCACTTTTATTGGACTGACTGCTTCCCAGGGAAAAAAGACATTCCCCACAACCAAGGAGACCTGCCCCTGCTTATTTCAATAGCAGATACTGGGGTCTACAAACCAACTGGTAATAGCGAAGTGCTACTTGCAGCAATCTGTAAGTCACCAGGCCATGTCTGGAAGGATGCAGACATCACTGAACTCATAAGCTTTAGACATAAGTAGCTACTGGCAAGAGATCTGAATGCTAAATATCAATTCTGGAACAGCATACTTTACAACCCTTCAGGCATGAAACTATTAATTTACTGCATATATATGAATCTGAAGTTTCAGAACCACCATGTTCCACTCATAACTCTACTGCAGGAAATCATGACATGCTCAATATTGTTGTGCACAAGAATGTCCGGCTGTCAGAAGTCAGTGTCTCTGACATTCTGGCCTCAAATCACTTACCAGTTGTTTTCCACTTGCTGGATCATTTTATGAGGGGCGTTCAAGTTCTAAGGTCTCCGATTTTTTCTCAGGACTGGGAGCAGATAGACACATGAGGTTTAGTTTAAAATACGTGTGCACTCTTTGTGAATGCGTGACAGAGATGGCAGCACTGTACGGCACACAGAACTCTAGTGGTGGCGGCGAGAGTGAGGAGTGTTTTTGATACGTAAAATGGCGACGTTTTCATTACAAGAACAGCGAGTAATCATTCGTTTTCTCCACTTGTGTGGTGCAACACCCATTGAAATTTATCGCCAGTTGAGTGAGACGTGTGGTGTTGGTGTCATGAATGTGAAAAATGTGCGTTCGTGGGTGTGACAGTTCAAAGAAGGTCAAACGTCATGTGACAACGAACCA